TCATATAATAGTACCTTGATCAGGTCATCCCATATTTCTTGCTCAACCATAAACTGTTGTGTGATATCATCCCAAGCGAATCCACTAAGTCCATGAAACAAATCGTGAACCTCCCGCCATCTATCCTTAAGACTTTTTTGTCGATTTTTAACATTATTTTTAGTTATACTAATTAATCCAGACTGTCTTAAGGATTCAACCATATTATTATATGCTTGGGTTGTCCAACTACCATCAGCCCGATTACCCAACCTTGCCTCATTAAGCATAGCAGTCAACAATCAAAAGTCCATATCATCAGTCCATTTTGTAAACTCGCGCACTACAATTGACAAATCCGGTGCAATATCCTTTCCTCTGTTCATTTTAAACCTATTGGAAAGACAATATATGTAATGACAATACCAACATATAATTATTATAAATGGATAATCGTAATTTAACCATATTGAAAGTGATCCTAGCAAAGATCTCATTGATTTGATGAAGCCAAAGATAGAGTCAAAGGTCAACTCTGCAGCAGTCAACAAGTCACTCAGATAATTGTGCTAGAAGATTTAGTGTGTCTAACAGAAGGCTTAGGTAAAATCATTTTACCTTTTCTGCTGCATAAAGTTTCTTCATTCATTTTGCAAAATGCCTCAAAAATAGTTTTAAACAAATAAAAAACAAAAGCATTTTGACAAGAACTTTCTTAACAATGTTTTTTAACTGATATAGTTTTAAAAGAAACGATTAAAATCACTTAGAATGTTTAAAGAAGTGTTTTTACAGTATTTTAATCGATACAAACTTCTTTTAATCGATTAAAACCCTTTAAAACTCTTTATGATCGATTAGAATTCAAATATGACCGGTCAGAATGAAATATGATTGATCAGATTTGAATTATGAGCGATCAGAATTCTTTTAATCGATTAAAACACGTTTCAATCGATTAAAACCACTTTGGAAGTCAGGATGATCGATCAGAATGAAATTATGACCGATCAGAGTTGGTTATGATCGATCAGAATTGAATTATGACCGATCAGACTTATTTCAATCGATTAAAACGAATTTCAATCGATTAAAATGACTTGAAAAATTTTGTACAGAGTTTCAATCGATTAAAACGCATTTCAATCAATTAAAATAACTTGGAAAATTTTTGTACAGAGTTTCAATCGATTAAAACGTATTTCAACCGATTAAAACAACTTAGAAAAATTCTGTGCAGGTTTTGAATCGATTAAAACTTCTTTGTATCAGTTAAAATAACTTGAAAAGTTTTATAAGAAAGTTTTAAAGTAAATCAATCTATTAAAACGTGAATCAATCGATTGAATCACACTTAGAAAATGTTTGTAAAATGTTTTAACTGATATAAACATGGTTGTATCAATTAAAACAATTCTGTTAAAGAAACAAGAACGCATTAATGGGTTGAAAGGACTTTTAACAGATTATAACGGCTATTTCAACAAATTAAAACAAACTTTCAACAGATTAATTAATGCAGCAGATTTGAAAATTCTCTTTAAAAACAATTTTGCTTGAAATTTTAAAACAGAAATTGTACATCAGTTTTTCATACATCCTTAAGCAATCAATCAAGCAACTTTAGCACTTTTTCAAGAAAGATTCGCAACAGTTTTTTTGAAGTTATTTTGAAAATCTTTCTTGAGGCAACTTGCATACTTTGAAGAAGAAACTCTCTGCAGATTTGGATAAAGCTGGTTTGAGCTTTCTAGTTTCTTCTTTGTAAATTCTTTTTCATTACTTTGTATTGTGTTGTGCACTGGAATTTGGGCACAAGTTTTCTCTGCAGTTGGAAGTTGGTTGTGGAGGTTATCAAGAAGCTGGAATTTGGTTCTTGGTAAGAGGTTGAGCACAGGAGCTAGAATTTGGTTCTTGTGGTTATACTTGTGTGGTGCCTGGAATTTGGGTACTAGTTTCTCTGCAGCTGGAATTTGGTTGTAGAGGTTATCAAGAGCTGGAATTTGGTTCTTGGTGGAGAGGTTAAGTGCAGGAACTGGAATTTGGTTCTTGTGATAGATTAGGTGTAAGATTGTTGAGTCTGTAAAACATCTATTCTAGTGGAACCCAGCTGGAATTTGGCTGGAGACTGGACGTAGCCCTGGTATTGGGTGAACCAGTATAAAATACCGGTGAAATCTTTCTTAACCTTTCTCTCTTTTATTTCTGTTGCTGCGCTTATATTGTTTGATTGCTTGGTGATTCAAAAAGAGATTTAGAAACTTAATTTTCGAATTAGATAATCTGTGAATTGCGAAAAACTTTCAAAGATCAATTCACCCCCCCTCTTGATCTAAAACTACTTTTCTAACACATATTTCAACAATAACAATAATACATCTCATTAAATATATTGTTACATACAAAATCTAATCACTTTGATAATCTATCCACATTTGATTTGTTATAACATCTCTTAAGTTTGACCCTTCCCTATAATCCTCTTCCCGAACTTGAGTCGACATGTTATCCACATCTTGTTCCATCAACTCTCGATCCACTTCAACTAACAGTGATTCATCGTTGTCTACACCTCAAAGGAAATTGTGTAGAATGCAACATGCTAGGACTATATTCGTCATTGTATCAAATGAATAATGAGGCTCTGTTCCACTAGCTATTATAGGAAATCTTTTCTTCAAAACTCCAAATGTTCTTTCAATTATATTTCTAAGAGACGAATGTCGATGGTTAAATAATTCTCGAGGGTTTTGTGGAGCTCGTCGAGAATACTCTTTAAGGTGGTATCTAACGCCTCGATAGGGGGTCATTATGTTTGCTTTTAACATAAATTCAGCATCCCCCAAGTAGTATTTACCTATTTAAAATCATTGAAATTATACTGATTAGAATATTTAAACTAGATGACTATACACAAAATCCTCACGTTATAAATAATAAACCATATGGTATGATAAGACGATCCTCTCTCGTTAGAACATCCTTTAATATTCTTGAATAAGATGTTGTTCCTTCCCACCCTGCTAGAACATATGTGAATTTCATGTCGAAATCACAAGCTGCAAATACGTTTTGTGTTGGCCAATTTTTTCTTCCACGAAAATGAGGGGGTATCGGATCTTGCGATTTTAACTCGAATATGAGTTCCATCTATCGCCCCTAAACAATCCTAATTGGTCAAATAAATTTATTGTCATTAAAGTTTAGACAATCTATGCGTATGTTATATAGACACAAAGTTGGTGAGTAGATTACCTTAAAGTATAGGTAAAATTGGCTGTTGTTTAATATATACGGACACACATCCCTTCCTTATGATTGAACAATTAATTGTTCCTCTAACATTATTATCGTATTCAACACGTTATGAAAGTGTCGACTAACGGTTTCACCCGATCGATGGAAGAAAAATGAAACAGTTTGATTTTTAACGTTATGTCCGATAATATGGATAAATTTAGTCACTTGTTCTTCGACTGTTGATTGTAACCCATCTTTTACCAATCCAGTTGCCCTTACTTGTTGACACAAGTTAATGAACGCCTCCGGTCCCATGCGAATAATGTCACGAGATTATTCAGTATGAATAAGGTATGACATCAACTCGTATCAACAACGTTTTTCTTCAGAAATAAAGTCCCTAATGTTACTACTACTACAAGTTACCGTAGACAACATATTTAACCCATAGGCTATCAGACAAAGAATTGTCATCGCTCTTACTTCGTTTCGCTTTTTTATCTCACTTTGTATATGTGAAATTATGTTTATATCCAAACCATTATCTATATCGTCATTATCTAAACCAATGATCTCGATGTTTTCGTCTGCCATCTGAAAATTTATTTCAAAATACCAAATTTAATAATTTAATTATATTTAACTAAGAAGTAAACCCTAAATCCTAATTATAACTCTCATTAACTAATAAAAAAATATTTTTCATTAATAATGATACTTCCAATATACATAACCAAATCACACACAATTTAAATATGGCGAAGGTCGACCACCCTCATACTCGACCAAATCGCACAATGCAACATATATATACAATAAATAAATTCGCACACCACAAATAAATTGTCGAAGTTCACACTCTCACAGATCGTATCATTTGACAAATATCATAAGATTATAGCACAACCAATTGATACTACTATTACAATTTATTTTTATATTTAAGTTTATCTCTTATAAACTTATACTTACACAATTTAAATATTATCAATATATAGTTCAAAGTCTTTAAAACATTTATTTTCCATAACTAATACACAGTCATTCATATGTAAAAATATAATTTTTTATCTTATGATTAGGTTTTCTCTTCTTATTATTTAAAATTGACATTTTTAAATATTTAATTAATTTATGTGGTATAAAATTATTTTTTAACATTAAACTTAAATTATCTTACATATTTACTCAACAATTATAATAATAATTTTTTGATTTATTTATCATATCTTAATTATATTTCACATTATACAATTATATATATATATATAATTAATTAATTAATGTTTAATTGAAGTAATTTAAAGTATATAATTTTAATATTTATAAAATTAAATATATTTAGTTAATGTATACAAGACTAAAATCATATAAGTTTAATGCTTTATAAAAAATTTATTTATAAAACTATTAATAATTTTTTTTCCACTAATATTTTTACTTCTTTTTTAACAAATTCTCATTTCTATAAATTTTTTCTTTTCTCAATTTTACATATTCCATCTGTTATAAAAAATAATAAATTATTTTTTTTAAATATAACTATATTTAACTTTTTTCCCTTATTTAATTATGCATTAATAACGTCTGTCATAATTTTTATTAAATTTGTTTCATGTATGCTCTCTCAATTATCTTTTTTCTTTTCGAGTATCTATAAAAAATTTCAAAATTTTCATATAATAATTATAATTGCAAAAACAGAGTTTTTGATTCCATTGTTTCGTTCCAATTTTTGCTTCTATCATTCCCAGTTTTTGCTTCCAAGATGCATGCGGGAACTACCAATTTTTACCTCGACCATGCATGGAGTACAACACAGTTAGAACCGGTTTCGGGTTGCGATCATGGAAGACAACATATGAACCATACATGTGGGAAAAGATATGAACGGAGCTCTTCGTGGGACAAGCTGACGGCGAACTTGACGACACCCCTAAGATACAACCTGCAACAACAACATAACCAACGCAAAAGTAAGAAACCATGATTGTATACTGCCCATTTTCTGTTGGAGTCGAGGAGGTTTGACCTCCTCTCACGCATGCACACGACTGGACCAGCTGTAGCCACGAGGCCCACCATGGCGGCCAGAGAGGCGCCCACCAGAGGAGAGTCTGACGCCAGAACGACGAGACATAAACCGTCGGAGGGAGAAGATGCCACTACAAAAGAAAAGTCTATTATCTACAAAAAATTACCTTTGGATAAAAATCCGTAGGTAAATTATATTAAAAGAATTATTACTGACAAGAATCAAACCCAATATCTTAAAGTTGAAAGTTGATAGTTTAACCACTAAACTATTAGGATATTCTAATAATAACTTACAAATAAATTATATTTATATTTATTCGTGTTAATATATAAATATAAAATATAAAATATAAAATATATAAATATATAAATATAAAATATATAAATATAAATATAAAATATATAAATATAAATATAAAATATATAAATATATAATTATATATAAAAATATAAAAATATATAAATATATATAAATATATCAAAATATTTATATATTTTATATTTACATGAATAAATATAAATATATATAAATATATCAAAATATTTATATATTTTATATTTACATGAGATAAATATAAATATAATTTATTTGTAAGTTATTATCAAAATATCTTAATAGCATTGTGGTAGGAGTATCGGTTTCGAACTTTGAAGTACTTAGGTTCGATTCCTAACATGTGACATGGAGGATTCACATGAGCTTCAATGCATAATATGGGGTGAAACATTTCCATGATCTTCTCTAGAGCTTCAATGGAGGCTGCCGTGAGAACTCCAATGAGCTTCTATATATATTATTGTAATATTAGTCTCATATAATTATTTTAAATAAATTAAAGTTCTTTATATAAGTAATTTTATATATAAAATTTATATTAAAATAATATATTTTATTTAAAAAAAATATTGTAAAGAGCTCTCATTGAATTCATCTCAAAATAATATTTCTTTAAAAGAAAATCATTAGGTATGTTGTTATCACTTTCTAATTTTGGGAAGTAAATGGATTGTTTTGTTATTTTGTATTTTATTATCAAATTCTCGCTATTCATATTTCTTTTAATTATTTATTGTTGGGCCGTATCATCCAAGATACGGGACTTCAGATTTTGCATATCTTAGATTCTTGCTTAAGTATATTGTTTAATTATCTTTACTCATGTGCATCTATTACCATTTTTTTATTTATAATTTTTACAATTAATTTGACAATAATTTTTTTTATAAAGAAATACATAAATACGAGCTTGAGTACTGTTTCAATCATAGTAAACAACAAACTTACCTTTCTAACACTCACTGAAAGTCTCAAGTGAATTTAAAAAAAAAATGAAACAACTTAAATACAAAAATCACTGAATTGGAATAAAATTCATAGCATTTAATAATTTTTTTAATAATATATCTCATTATTTTTTTTCTATACACACTCTTGACTTTAATTAATGAAACTTAAAATTTTTTTCTTTGATGCTACGCATAACATGAATGATCTGAATTTACCTAATATAATAATAGAATATACCATTTATTTGTTTATTTAATTATTGTGTTTTTTATTTCCTAATAAGAAAAATTAGGTAGTTAAATCCACCTGTACGACGCACCTTATCAAGAAGGAAAGGGAAGGTGGAATTTTTTTGACAAAACAAAACCATTCATTCTCCGATCCCCACAGTTTCACCGCCGCCATGTCTCCGTCTGTCGGAGTCAACGTCCCCCTGCTGGGGGAATCCAACGGAACGCCTCCGCCGGCGTCCGTTCCCGGCGCGGTGTTCAACGTGGCGACGAGCATAGTCGGTGCCGGAATCATGTCAATTCCGGCGATCATGAAGGTTCTCGGAGTGGTTCCTGCTGTCGCCATGATTCTCGTCGTGGCCGTGCTCGCGGAACTCTCCGTCGAGTTCCTCATGCGCTTCACGCACACCGGCGAAACGAAGACGTACGCTGGCGTCATGAGGGAAGCGTTCGGATCGCCGGGAGCGTTGGCCGCGCAAGTTTGCGTCATCATCACCAACGTTGGGGGCTTAATTCTCTACCTTATCATCATCGGTAACAGAACCGTTTTCCCCTTTTTTACTTCCTTTTGAAATCATAAAAATAAGGGAAAATATGTGTAGATTTTTTTATGGTTTTGGATAGTTGAGCTTTATTATGAACCTTTGCTGGGATTTTGGTCACATTCATTGTGATTGATGAACTTTTGCTGCTAGTTCATTTTTTTTATTTTTTTTATTTTTTTATTTGTTTACTAGAAATAGAAAGTTATATATATATATATATATATATATATATATATATATATATATATATATATATATATATATATATATATATATATTAAAAAAACTAACCAGTTAAATTCATTAATGTTTATGTGTTAACTATTTGTTTTGGTACGACCAAACGGAAGGATCTAGATTTATTATGAACTTTGCAGGGTTTTTTGGTGCGACCAAACGTAAGGATCTAGATTTATTATGAACTTTGCAGGGTTTTTGGTCACATTCATTGTGACCGTTGAACTTTGGCTGGTAACCACTCATAATTTTTTTAATTTAAAAATTTGTATTCCGAGTGTCTGATTGGTGAATGAATGAAAGTAGGAAATCAATTTCCGGAATGTAAACCTCATTTTTGGTGTATGCAATGGATCGATGAAAGTTATAGAAAGAAAATAAAAGTGGCATGGTAGGAAATATAGAGAAATATAAGATGAAAATATAGTAAAAGGAAGATGAAAGAAAAACTAGATGAATTGTAAATATTATCTTTGTTGAAGAACAGGGGATGTACTGTCTGGAAAGCATAATGGAGGTGAAGTGCATTTGGGTATTTTGCAACAGTGGTTTGGAATTCATTGGTGGAATTCCCGGGAATTTGCTCTTCTCTTCATTTTGGTGTTCGTCATGTTTCCATTGGTATTGTACAAACGTGTAGGTCAGTGTTAACAATTGAATACTTTGCACGGTTTCTTGTGGTTGGAATTGAAGATGTTCAGTAACTAACGTGTGGTCTTGCTTTTGGTGTTTTGGAATTGGTAGAGTCCTTGAAGTACAGTTCTGCAGTGTCAACTCTTCTTGCTGTGGCATTTGTTGGTATATGTTGTGGGTTGGCAATTCTTGCTCTGGTGCAAGGAAAAACACAAACTCCTAGATTGTTTCCTCAGTTGGACCACCAAACCTCTTTCTTTGATCTGTTCACTGCAGTTCCTGTTGTTGTCACAGCGTTCACATTTCATTTTAATGGTAATAGACCTAATGACTATGCTATTATTTCAAGGGCATGCCAAGAAAATTTTTGTGCTGATGGTTGATTTTACTTGCAGTACATCCAATTGGGTTTGAGCTTGCCAAGCCATCTCAAATGACAACAGCAGTTCGATTAGCATTATTGCTTTGTGCTGTGATCTACATTACAGTAGGCCTATTTGGGTACCTCTTGTTTGGGGATTCAACCCAATCAGACATTCTCATCAATTTTGACCAGAGTGATGATTCTGTTGTTGGTTCCTTGTTCAATAGTTTGATCCGTGTAAGCTATGCACTCCACATCATGCTGGTGTTTCCCCTCTTGAACTTCTCTTTGAGATCCAACATAGATGAAGTTCTCTTCCCCAAAAAGCCTATGCTAGCCACAGACAACAAAAGATTCATGATCCTCACGCTGGTGCTGCTTGTATTCTCCTACCTTGCTGCTATAGCAATCCCAGATATTTGGTACTTCTTTCAGTTTCTTGGATCATCATCTGCAGTGTGCCTTGCCTTCATTTTCCCGGGCTCTATTGTTTTACGGTAATCTAGACTTAACTTCTGATTTAGAGACAATTGAAAATTGCATTGAACAAATAAATAATCCAGTGTCTTATTTATCTTTGTTACTACTTTCAGGGATGCATATGGTATATCAACAAAAAGGGACAAAATTGTGGCACTGATAATGATTATACTAGCTGTGGTGACAAGTGTGCTTGCCATTTCCACCAACATATATAATGCTTTTAGTAGCAAGTCATAAAAACCGTTTTTCTCATTCTCCTACTATGGTTTTGTTTTCTAAATTTTGTAAAAAAATGATTTTGGGGAGATATAGTGTGGCGCATTTGGTTGCTGTGGTGCTTGTGTAACATTTGTATTCTGGATACCTTGTTGTTTACTATAGAAGAATTCATGTATGACATTGATGTATTTGGAGCAGTACTGCTTTGTAAATTACCAAATACTATTATAGAAATGAAATCCGTTGGTCCAAAACATGGTTGAAGAAAATTGGGCCATATTTTACAAGATTGTGCCATACAAGGAATCCAAGATTGATGATCTCATGTTGGCGAACTAATTTTAAAAGTGTTTGTGGTTGATTTTGATTTAGTTTCGATTTTCATGAAGTAATAATCTGAATCAAATATAATTTTTCTTAATTTTAATTTAATATAAAATTTAAATTGATGTTTTGAGATTTGATTTTAATTAACTTTTGTGATTTTTATAAAACTATAACAGTTTTTGTAAAAATCCATTGAAAGTTTTATAATTAAAAATTGAAAATAGGGGGATATGTAATAATTTTTTAATGAATATTTTATATTTATTTTATTTTTCTCTTTAATTAAAATTTCAATCATTTTAAATAAATATAACAAAATCGTAAAATGTTACATAAGAGAGATATTTATATATTTTACTAATTGTGAATTAATTTAAAATATTTAATAATTAATTTATATTGATTTTTGTTGGTTATTTTATTAGCTTTTTTGTTCAATTGATTGATTGATTGGTTGATTGAGAAGGGCCACTTTCCCAATCGTTTGCGTCAGTGCCGTATAGAGGTGATGAAGAGGCCGAGAAGGCTCTGCAAATACGGTTTGTCCAAAATAATAGTGCTTCGATCATAGCCTTTTGGAAGTCACAGAATCAATGAATAGATATGGAAAATATAGACCAAAAACATTATAATTAAATAAAAAATGTTATCAAATCCAAAGTCAGGTGCATCTTCCATTATTTTATCCACAACCGTGTATTATATGACATAGGCTAGCATGTGATTATGTGATAAGATAATGTTTTGTGGAGAGTGAACAATGAAATTGAGTTTTTTTTTTTTTATAAATTTTCATATATACTTTATAGATGTCTGCATAAAATATAAAATTAAAAAACAAAGCAATGGAGTAAATTGTCACGTTAAAAGCAATCAGTATCGTATATAGGAACGAATATGGCATTGAAAACTTGTAAGTACTACAATTTGAACATGTGACAGACACTGACACATTTGATACGTGGTTTTAAAATAAGAATAGTGATATTTTGATATCCACTTAAAAAAAATATATTTATTAGATAATCCAATTTATTAATATTATATTTTAAAAGTGATTAAATTAAAATTAAAATTATTATTTTATTAATAAATCTTATTTGGTAAGATTTGATTGTTTATCAATCATTTTCCTTAAAATATGTCGGCCAATAATATGCAATTATTGATGCCACGTAGAGTGATAGATAGCGAACAATTGTTTTTTCTTTCAGACGTGTGTCACGTCGTGGCTTTCTCATCTCAAACATAAATAAAAAATTGCAACTAAAATGAATATAAATAATTGTAATTTATTAATTTTATTTGAGTTTGTTTTCAAAACATTTGCATTTAATTTGATTATTTTAATAATCCCCTTTTTGTTCGTAATATTAAGTTTTGATAAAAGACATTTCGAAAATAATAATACCAATTAATGAAATTAAATTACTTTAACTGATTTTCTTAATTATTATAAAACTAATTATTTTTGTGGTTATGTTCAATGGAAACCGTTATGAATAAGGATAAATGTAAATCTACCAAAAAATATAGGAAAATGTTTGATGTACAAATGTTTGATGTATACCCACCCAATACTCATTACTTTTTGTTTTTAATTTAAATTTAAAAATAATAAATTAGTTTTATAATAAATAAAATGAGAATGAGAGGTTGAATGGGTGGATTTAATTTTTTGGTTGTCTGTGAATCAGTAACCTAAAATATATTACTGGGTCACCTGTATAAAAGCTTCATTAAAAAAAAAAAATCTGCCAACAACATTCAAGATTTTCCCTTGTGTTCCCACAATTACAAATAGGTTGTAAACAATTTTAGGCAAAAATCAACAATACTAATTTGGTCATCCATTTAAGAGATTAATAAAATTAATTAAGTTAATTAATTTGAACTAATCTCATACATTTTAATTTCATAGTTCAAGTAATTGTACTGTTCACAACACTACTCATAGTTTGAGAAATATTTTTTCACATAAATGAGCATTGCATGTATTTTTAATTAATCAATGAATACAATAAATTTTGACATTCATTTTTTTTTTCAGTTTTTCATTTGCTCTTATTTTTTCATACAATTTCTATTATGTTTATGTCGTAGTAGCGTTCTAAGTAAAAGAATCTAACGTGTTTAAAGTCTTGTACCAATAAAAAAAATGGTCAAAAAGTTGAACTTTTTAAAAAGTTCATTCAGACTAGAACATATCATCATTTCACTTGATTGGACAGTGATATGGTCTTTTTCAAAAAATCGGAGATGGTGGCATCATTCTGAGCTTGGTAAGATAAATGGATCCTAAATGTCTTTGATCATAAATTGCAGAGTGGAATTCACAAGGCAGATCTGGTGGAGGAACAAATCCTAAATGTATCTTCTGGTGATTGAATTTCTTTTACAAATATCTTTTCCTCAATAACACATCCAATGAACTAAGGAATGAGAACAAATCACCCGAAACAATTTCAATAGCAATCTATGATTACTAGGTCTAAACATGAAGGTCATGTTTTACTAGATTCTTCATACATTCAGAAATGACATTGTATAATCAATCATATATTTTCTACCGTCAAACAAGGGTTGAAGTTTAATAATGTAGTGTTAACACCAAATATACAGTTACAGTTTTATCAAGATTGACGTAACAGTCAAAGGATACACGATAACTCTTCCCCAAAAATGCTTTTTACTCTTTTATATTGTAATATTTGAAGCTCCAACCAGCCAAAAAACAAACAAAAAAAAAAAACAAAATGAGGCGTGTACCTCAAGTAAGAGTCATGATGGGACATCATATCTCAGATCTTGGAACCTTTTCATCAAGCTCAACTTGTATCCCTCAACTTCTGCATCCTCAAGTGAATTTGGTGCAGATCTGATTACTGAAATGGCCCCAGCATGATGCATGGATGCTAGAGCTTCATCTATATAACAATTAAGTATTTTATGTCAATCAAAAGGAAACAAAAAAAAAACTAGTACTAGCAGCACATTTTTGGTTGTCCTGTTGCACATCTTTCAACCTCATAATGTTATTTGAACTGGATTCATATTAACCAATATATTGTGACAGATATAATGTCACAAAATAATGGACAAACTTTATGTTCTTTTTCATCTTTAAAAACACGTATCTATTGAATAAGGGATGACATAAACTGAAAACATGCAAATGTGTTTTAAGCTTCTTAGTTCTTCTCACAACTTCGCTCATAAAATTGATTTCAAGCTAGAATAGTATCCAAATAAATTAACAAAAGATTAGTAAGTTGTTGGGCATTTCTGGTGTACAATTTAGAACCACAAAAGTACCACCGGTCTCAAAAATCTGCCTCTTCAACAGCATGATAATAAGTATAGTTTAAAAAGAGTCTGCTTAGAACACGTAAATAAAATTACTTAAAAGAATTATGATTCTACCTGAGTGTGACAGTGCGTCAAGAGCTTGCAATGCTGCTTTCCGTGTACGGTCATCTTTAGCTGTGCTTAACATATTTAAGAGTTCTCGAGCTCCACCCATCTCAATTATCTTTTTCCTTCTTTCATCTTGCGAACAAAAGTAAGGTAAATAATGTTGAATATAAACAACTTATGCAGGGAAAAAAGATTTTAGAAAGTAAGAAATCACCATGTTTCATCCTTAATCAGTTTAATGAGATTACCTATACATTGAAAAACTATAGATAAATAAGCAGTTATATAATGCACAAACTAGCTAAATCGAATCAGGGCACTTTTCTCTTTACAGAATAAAACTCAGTGGTGTTGTGAATTACGGCAATATTTGAACTTAGCCATGAAAATAATATAACTGACAACAAGGTAACGCCGTAAGTTATTACCTCTGAACAAATGCAGCTAAGTTAAAATCTCAGAAACTATTTTATTATCAGTTCAAGATTAAAATTTCAATCTATATTAACTCTTTTATTCCAAGTTGAAAATCCCCCTTCAACCATAATTTTGTCATCTCAAGAATAAGCTGAGATGAATACTACATGACTAAATGCAGAGTGTAAAGCAACATGATGGAAAATATGCTTGTAGCAAGAATAGGAATCTGATCTAGAAAACAACTACCAACCCTAATGAGCAAATGACTAATAATTAATAAACCACCACCAAGTGCTTCAATATATGTCCTTTGACAAAGAAATATGGATCACAAAGTGCCAATAGCGAACAATTAGTGACACAAATATATTGATAGGAAAACTTACCATCTATTGCAAAACGAGCCAATCTAGAAGCTCCCATCCTTTTGAACAATGGATCCTTGACACGCAAAAGCGACACAGACTGTTGCATTAAATTTTCTCCTGAAAATTTTTATCTCAACAACACTGTAAGGCTAGAACAACCAAAAGCAAATGACGGCTTTACAAGTTGAAATTGTTGCAGGAAAATTTGTGATACCCATATAAGGAAAGAAATGGTATCCTGCTACCCCTGCAGTGACAAAAAATATCGTCTTCAATAGCCATCCAACTTTCCTCTCGGCTTCTTCCTCGATCGATAGCTCATCTGAAAATCAAAAGAGCTATAAGTGAAGCCGTGCAACATAATTGCAGTTCAAATAAAGGAACCAAAAACTCAATTAGAAAAAGAAAACCACTTTCTTTTTATTTTACAGTGCCAGATTTGGCTCAATGATCTAATTCCAGAAATCCCCTTAATCAGCATTATGTTACCAACGATTTACTGCTAGAAACAGATAAGTACAAATTTCTATTTATTATTTATTTTTAACAATAAATTAGTCCAGCAATAACAGGGATTTCATAGACTGACAAATTGGTCATAGCTTCTTAATTTTTTTTTTTTTTCCGAAGTACCGACGAAAAGAAAGGGTGATACCTTTGCCACTATATGATGAAAAATTACGAGATCGCGGGTTGATCCCAGCATTTCTTCTGCATAAATACTGCAAAAAAAGGGTAAAATAGAAAAATAAAAATAAAGAGTTATGACTAAAATGGATTTAGCTAATGGGTACTTACTTACGACCCAGAAAACAAACATCAACTTCAAACATAGATTGAATTTGAATGTTTTTTTACTTATAAAAATGGATCGCAGAAAAGAGGATTAAAATTGAAAATTGAACAGAGGCAAAGACAAAGATTACATTAGAGAACTGAGCTACTAGGGCGCGCATAGTGCTGAAGCTCAAGACACTCCTAACTGTTCTTCATCAAAATCAAAGGGCATTACAGGATCCGGACGCGAATATGTCGTCCTGTTCCGGTTCCGAATGATCTGTTGCGAGGCCCAGAATTTGTGGGCTTGAGATGAATTATTTTAGCCCACAACTCTTTGGGTCTTAAAGAAGGAGCAATTGCTATTTACATCCAAAAAATTTCTTCTCTCAACAATTCAGAATTTATATTTTCTTTTAAATTGATGAATTTGAAGGTCACCAATCCAGTCCAATCAGAAGGTAAAATAAAAAGTGCAAAAATCATTTTTTTTTGGTTGCAGAAAGCAACTGTTCAAATAAAGTGATTTATAACCCCTTTTTTTTTCAGCACTTCTATTCTATGTATAATTCATACTTTTTTAGTGAGAATATTATTTCTACCATTTTAAAGAATAAATTTAAATAAAAACTACATTTCAAAGTATAACTTTCATTGTATATATTTTTTTGGGTAAAAATTTTCCAACTGAATCGGAATTGAATAGTATGATCTAAATTTCACTTTCATGAGGAAAACGAAAGAGGGTTCGAGTGTGTTGTATGAAAAGAGAGGTAGGATGGCTCGTGTGGAGAGAGAATGAACAAGAGACAAAGTTTCATTGCTGGTGATTGAAGAGAGATCGCGCAGGAGGAGACCCTTTAAAATTCCCCGTGAGAAATGTTTGGATGCATTCCAAATTCAGAACTTTGCATCCTCCCTCTCATTTGTTGCTTCTCCTTCACTTCTTTCGATGCCTATTTTTCACTCATCATACACTCTTCTCCCATTCTCCCTCCACTCACAACTTAATCACATATTTATGCATATTCCAATTCTACCAACTTAAATTCAAAATATTTAATCACTTACATACCTATATACACGTGTAAAATGAGAGGTGACTGAAGTTGAATATGATCTTCTTCTGGTTGACTCACAACTCACATCTATAAATCAATTCTTAGTGAAAAGAAATATTCAAAATCATGAAAGTGCAAAAGGGTATTTGTGGAAGTTCAGTGAGAATAATCTAGCAGAATGTCTTATAGATTTGAGAACCCATACCCTCTTTTAAAAGACCATATGTCCAACTCTATCAGCATATAGTTCATAGCATAAGAGAATTAAGCGTAAGAAAAAGGAGAAAAATAAGGCCAAAAAAATCACTTATAGTGGAAAAGGGAGCACAAAATGGTTTCTGGAGAGCAAAAGAGAGCAGAACTGCGTGAGCAGCTGCAACTTCTTCGTTCTATTACTAACTCTCATGCTGTAATTCCCTGCATTGTTTTCTCCATCTTTCATTTTATTTTATTTTCTTTATGAAAATTCAGTCGACATTGTTATCCTCCCCTTCTATTCCACCGCCATGCTTTCTCTTGTTGAAATATTCATATCATGGATTCTTCTCTGCTATATACCAGAGTTACTCAATCTTCTATCGCAGTTCATGTTATCTGGATTGTGTTCTATGTATTGCATGGTATAATTATCATTGCCATATCTTAGTAGAAAATCGAAGGACAAACTTATTGAAAATGAAGTATGTCAAATATTATGATGAAATATTGTGTAGTCCTTCATTTAATACACCATTTTTCTTACTCACCCATGTTTATATATACCTATACTCATCTATCACATGGTGCCCTTTATTTGAGGCAGTGAATTTATCTAATAGTTCTTGTTCTTTTGTTGTTGGTGGCAGCTAAACAAAACCTCGATCATAATAGATGCATCAAAGTATATCCAAGAGTTGAAGCAAAAGGTAGAAAAATTGAATCAAGACGTAACCAATGCACAAGCTTCAAGCGACCAAAATACTTTGCCCATGGTATTTTCTCAGTCACTATAAAATTTAACAGCTTCCACATATACATGTATTCATTTCCAAGGTCTTGTTAATCTGAAAAATATTGATTGGAATTGCATCTTCTGGATGGACATAAACAGGTCACAGTAGAATCCACGGAAAAGGGTTTTCTTATTAATGTTTTTTCATCAAAGAGTTGCCCTGGTCTGTTTGTTTCCATATTGGAGTCATTTGAAGAGATGAGTCTTAATGTGCTTGAAGCTAGGGTTACTTGTACGGACACCTTTCGATTTCATGCTGTTGGAGGAAAAGTAAGACAAGCATAAATTTTATACCATAGATACTTTCTAGGCCGGTTCAATATCATTCAGCGTCTATCTTTTCCTTCTCACTACTCCATATTTTTGTAGGTCACATGCGTTGTCCTTTATACATATAAAACATTCCTCTTCTTCCTGTTACTCTCTCTCTCTCTCATCCTTTTGACGAGAAGGCAAGAGGGACCACTTTCCATAGTCATGTATTTTAAATTAACTATAAAGAATCCTAGATTTCACTAAGTACTATCGGGGTTAATACAGATAGAAGCTAGTCATCAGGTTAAAATTTTGAACTAAAATATTTTTAGATTTACAATTGTCTCACTCTCTCTATGTTTTCATGCATATAATAATGATGACAAATTACGTTGTGACTTGTGTAGAACGAAGAACAAGGTGAGAATATTGATGCAAGAGCTGTGAAGCAGGCAATGGGACAAGCAATAAAGAACTGGAGCCAAAATGCTGGCCAAAAGTAATAAAATGTCAGCTTTTATATTTATGTTATTTATATCTTCTCAGTGCATTTTCTTTAATTAGTTTACGCATCTTCTTTCATTAGACCTAACTGGTAGTTTTGTTGTCAAGGAATCAATAGACCTTCTATGATGTGGTTCATCAAATTTATATGTAACATATCAAATATGCTTGTTTTATTTTTCTCATGTTTATGTATGGTTATGTTAGAGTTTCACTGCTTCAAAATTTCTTACTTCAACCGTGCACAACTGCTTTTCTGTGAAACAAACAAAATTTTCTGGCAAATACGGTTGAATGTGGATATGGTTCCAGTGATACAAATAAAGGTGAAACGACACCGTACAGAAACAATAAGGAAAATGAAAATGATGTTCCACTTTTGATGAATAAAATAAAACGTACTGCAAAACTAGGAAAGAAGTGCCTTGGTGCATCATGTTGCACGAGTTTGCACCATGCAAATTTTGGCTTTTCAAGCATAAATAAACAAATAATTAATTTCGAAATAAACTTCGTTACTGTCCATATTATATAATTTGTATCTCTTATTCTTACTGGAAATTTATGATATAATATGAATAGCAGAAAAATATTATGAAATCTTTTGTATAATTCATTATGACTTAACAATGTTAAGGGTTTGATGATAAATTTAAGAATCTTGTAATTGTAACTTTCTACCAAAAGAAAATTTAAGTTGACTTCAAATAAAATCAGATTTATATTTCTGAAAAATATGTATAAATGATAGACTTTTCAAACTGTCACAATATTTAAGAAGATAAAAAATGATATTTTGTGTACATTCAAGGTAAACCTATAAATTGTCACAAAAGTGTATCTTGTTAATTGTGATGAAAGGTATTAATGAGGTACATATATATATATATAAAGAGGACGTGTAAATAATATTACATGACACTTTTAAGGTGAGGACGTGTAAATAATATTATATGACACTTTTAGGTGAGTGACATATGATATAATTGATTTTTACATTTAGAGCGACTAATAATGTTGTTATTGTTTATAATGTGTTAACAAAACTTAATTAATTATAATTTGTATTATTAGATCTTTGGAAGCCTTTATACAAAAATTTGCATAAAAATAGTAAATTAGTCATATTTTATTATATACGAGTATTAATATTAGTTTATTGTTTTATTTATTTATTTTTTCTTTCTACAAAGCTCCTAAAATTATGATTCTTGAAGCATTGTAAACTAGACACATTCAGCTTTCCGAGAGGATCTAGAACCATTCAATTTGAAGCTAAATTGGATTTTACATAAATTATCAAAGAGGGGTTAAGCGCACCATGCCGATCAATGGACATGTTTCAGTAATTTAAGTATTCTAAATTCATTAGACCTTTTAAAATAGTACAAATAGTAACATTTTAAAGCTAACTCAAAAAGATTTCAAAAGAAACCGGAATCATTTAATTTGGATAAGTATTGAAAATACTTCACGTGTTTGAAGTTCGCAGAACTGCACTGAAACCAACTTAGTACGTATATTCGAGCTCCCTCTCAAGTTATTAGATCACCTACGATTCTAAGCTTGTGTATTATGTAATTGTATATTAGCTAGAGTATAAATAAGATTAACTTAATGTCATAAATGTGTGGTTGAAGTTTCAGAATTCAGATCTAAATAAATTCGTTTCATTTTCTCTCTAATTGTCTCACACACACCATGAGTTTTTCTTTGCTTGTGACACACACTTTCATGTATGTTCTTCATTTTCGCCATTGTTTTTCTTGTTTTGGATCTGAATCTTCTTCTTCCACCATCCTTTATTACTTTCTTTAATACTTTCATGATTTAGAATAGTTCTTATTGAACAAAGATCCATGAACATGACTTCGCATGTTACACCATGTCAAGAACACCAAATTATGCTTCAAGATTTGCGTTCTTGCTTTCTTTAAGTTTCATGCACTTTACAATGCTTTCTTTACGATTTCTGCCATTTATATGCTTTGAAACTTGATTGTTTGTGAGTTCTAATTGGGGAGGAAATGTTTCTTTCAACTGGATAAAAGTGTAGGTCACTCAAAGGTCTTTTGAGGGGTGAGTTAATTAGGATTCACCCATGATTTATGCTTTAAGAAGATTGTAGTACTTTCAAACTAATTCTAAGTCACTTGAAACCACGTTAGGTAGATTTTAATGCTTTGATTTACTGCTTTAATGTCTCTTTAATTGCTTTACATCCTTAGTTTTAGGTCTGGATAGATTTATGGTATTGTTAGATTTACTTTCATGCATTAGCTTAATATAGAATATCCTAGGTGCGTTTTAAATCGCGTCTTAATTTCTTGTACTTCAAACTCCCTTGAAAACATTAAAAAAAAAAAAACTGAATATCCATTAGTGCATTCATTCCATCATTCATACATTATATTTACCACTGTTTTGATTTCTGACCGAGTGACACTATTCACCTAGGTCAGATTTTGAATCAAGCGCACCAGCCACACACTCATTCGGTCATCTTCCATTTTAAAAGCTCAAAACTCAAATATTATTTCATTTCCATCGGTCATTCATACATTTCATACACTGCATTTAATCCTTGACCGAGATATCCTTTCATATTTTCATTTTGACTTTCAGACCGATGTTACTGTTTATATAGGTCAGATTTGTGATTTTGCACAGTTTCATACATTTTGCATTATGTATTATTTTCATTTATTACATACTAAATTTTAACTCCATTTTAGTTTATTTTATCATTGTACATTTCATTCATTCACTCCCCATTGAATCATTCATATTTTATTCACTTATTCTCACTATTTTCTTAGATTGATACTCTGGTTCTCATTATACTATATTCTTGTTGTTTTAGGAGAACTTATTTGAACTTTCACACTGCGACATAAGTGAAGTTCTTCAACGTAATTATTAACTTTCATAAAATTAGATTGAAGATCGTATGAATTCATACTACACATCCCAAAAAAATATCTCGCTTGTCTTTTAATATCTGTTCAAAAATTTATATTAAACTCATTGAAAAAAAAATCAAAAACCATAAAAAAATAATAAATTTGTTTTCATTATCACATGGCGACAAAAATTATCCAATTATGAATTTCTTAACACAGTTAAAAAAAAATTACAACCAATAATCTAATTTCTCAAAATAATAATGTTTTATTCATAAAGTTAATTCACTGCAAGTATTTTTAATTAAGTTCCTTTATTACAACCAAGTTGTTTTTAAAATTTGAAGTATACTGATATAAAAAAATAGTTTGATATGAATGAAATATATTTGTTTACCAATTACAAGATAGTGTATAATATGTACCTTAACAAAAGAAAATATAAAATGTACTTAAGTGAGAGAGTGAGAACTTTTTTTTTCTCCTAATTTACTCAAAAAATGTAATTCCTTTATAATAAATAAAAAAGTTGATGAAGAAAACAAAAAGGTATATAGTTATTCTAATAAATGAACAGGTGGAGTGGGTTAGATTTAAGCATATATTTTCTATAAACCTCATCATCAATCATGAGCAAATTAATCAATAATATGAAATTTTGATATTCATGTTTCTTATAAAGTTCTCTCTTCTTTGTGTTTTTTCATATTTGATGACAACAAAGATTATCCTAGAATGATTAAGCACTATCATATTATATTATTCGATTAAAATCAAATTCAATAGTCATGTACTGAAAAACAAATTTCAAATTTCACACTAAGTAAACATAGAGTACTGAAAAAATATGAGTAAACGAAATTCTCACTCCACAAACAAACTGATTCGATGTGACGGAGTTAGATTGAAATCCATATCCAAATAATAATTAAAAAAAAAAAAAAAAGGGTAGGGTCTGATCACATGCAATGTTACAGGATAGAGCGATCATGTCAATGCAGCAATTTTTCTGCAGGAATGGGAGGCCCATTGTTTGCAGTAATGACTGTTATATCAGTGGGAATTTCTTCACTAAATGCTAAATCCAGCAACAAAGTTCCTGACAAAATCCATGTCCTTCATTCGTAGATTGATTGTGTTGTGTCCTTCAAATCTGACATACAATTTGTAAGGGTTCATCAAGAAAAATGATTTTGCAAACTTTTCCAATGTTTTCTTAATGGAGGGAAAAGGAAGAAACAATTTCTTCACAAAGAATCATCATAGCTCATAGATAACTTAAGAATATGTTTCCCTCACGTCTGGTTTGTTCCTTCACATTTAGTTTCTTCATTCTGATATCTTTGCAGAGGAGCTTGCATGTCATAAGCCAAAGCAGTTCAAATCCAACTACACAAGAATGAATTTGAATATCCTTATTATTTATAAGAAGGCCATGGCATAAATTATATGTTCCCTTAAAAATTAAAAATTACTTTTGATACCTTTTATTGTTTAACACTAATTAATTATTTATGCATTAAATAAAATATTTTTAAATGATAGTCCATCTAATGAATGTTAGTATTGTAATATAATATTAATATATATTATTCAAGAAAAAAAATCTTAAATTTCATAAATAAATATTGTTTGTCTATCTTAAAATGAATATTAGAAATTAAAACAATAAATTTTAAATTTTTGAGAGATGAAATAAACTAAAAAAACTCACAAATGAAAAAGTAATTCAAATTTTATAGAAATGAAAAACAAAGAAGAAACATTTATAAAGTTCAAAATCAAAATTCGCTAATTAAAAAAAAATTAAAACTACAGGAAGTTATTTTTTTTTCTTCTTTAATGGACTTCATACCGGTTGGGTCAGATCTTGTTACGTGAGGCCTCCAAAGACTGTTTTACGACTATGAACACATAAAAGGCTTTGGTGTGGGCTGTAACTTTATTATGAAATTGTCATATATTAACATTTGATTGGATTAGTCTATATAAGTATTTGATTAATTTAAAATTATTAATATAAACTTTATAAATTTAAATTTATTTGATATAATTATTTTATTAGTTTAATATTGACATTTTCCCTGTTTGTATGTTTTTTTTAAGTGACGTCTCATTTTCTTTATTAAGATAACATTAAAGACAAAAGGAAACAAATTACATAATCAGTCAGTCAAATTATCATTTATAAATCTTTTAAAATAATTATAATAATTTGTTTATTAGAGAATAATATGGTAAATGTGAGAGTAGGTTTAAATTGATGAGAAGAAAACATGAATAGGGATGGAAATTGCTAAATTGGTAAAATAAAGCAATGGTAGCTGTTAAACTTGGAGAGAAATTGATGATTTGGCACCATTGAGGAAGACCCTTGTAACCAGTTGCACAGTAAGGTGTGGACTCCTGTGCACAAAAGCTTCAAATTTAGGTGAGGACACAACATGTTCAATGTTCTTAACCAAGAAATTCAAGGTTGTCTCCTTCAAGTTGTGGTTGGAACAGGTGTCCGCAATCTCTAGTGTCTCAAGGGCATTACAAGTGCTTAGCGAACTCAGCAGGTACCTTTCACAATGTTTCAGCAGATGTGGGATCACATACTTATCTGCTGCTTGTGACAACGCGTACACATGTTTCTCCAATTTTTCAACTCCCAAGGTTCCACTGTATAAAAACTCAAGCAGACACTCTAATTCTTCATGCTTCAATTCTGGTATGGTTATGCTGTTACTTGGTGCTTCTTTGCATTCATCGCACTCTAACATGTTCTTAAATATCTCTGATCTTGCTGCCTGTAACATTACAATATGTTGCTTATCACCTTGTTGATTAGAATCATACAATTTAGTTTTCTTAATTAAATAAAAATAGAGTAAAACAACTTGATCTTAAATGTCTGCATATAAAGAAAAGCTTACCAAAACGGACTTATGTGCAGGTATAGGTGGACCATGTCTTCCTGGAGTGACCAATATATCTGTGTGAATCTGTGCTTTGAAGGCTGCAATAAAGCCTCTCAGGAAAACCAAGTCTTCCTTTTGTTGATTAAACTGTTCAATCTGTTCTGAACACCATCTTATACAATCATCAAGTGTCTGCGGAGACAAAATATAATCCGATTGAGACATATTTGCTAATTAAATTATTTATTCTTTTAAATCAAACTTTTACAGAAGAAATGAATTAGAGCTTGCCTTACTGGAGTATTTTCGTGCAACTGGACAAGTGTTTGGATTTAGATTGGACACTATTGCTTTTACTTTCTCACTTTCGAGGTTGCTCATCATGTTGATTATGCTCCTTACTCCTTCATAACATGCCCCACATATTGTATTCCTCGGAGGCCTTAGTATCAATGGCATAGTTGTACACACGCAACAATCCATGGCTCCTGCTTCTGCTTCTTCCCCTCCTCTGCTTTTGAAAAATACAGACACAAAGATGAAGGAGATATCCCCTTCTTCCAAAGAACTTGCTAATTTAAAGAGTTGTCATCTACCTTCATTCTTTATATAAAACATTGCTTGGACCCATCATAGTACATGATTGATGCCTCATCACCATTTGATTTAGAAGATATACATTATTATGATGTATGCATACCGCACATCTTTATTAGGTGTAAAACACTTGTCATCGTATCAAAAATCAGTTTGTATAATGAGTTTGTTGATGATTTTTTATTCTGTCTATATACATATTTAACTTTTTCTGTAATTATAAAAAATATTAGGTTGGATGTAACCTCATAACTATGTGTAGATGTCCCATCATTTTCTCTTTGTAGATTATATTATAATAAAGGAGTAGAAGAAGGTGTCTTGAGAATGAGATGGGGGAGTAGAGGGTGGTTACTGTAAAATTAGGAAGATAGTGGTTTGGTAGGCTATCTCTTTAGAGTAGTGTTTAGGAAAGTACTTAACAAAAAGAATGAAGCAGTTAGTGAAGAGAAGACTTTCCAACCACACAACACCACAAATGAGCAAAGCAAAGCCCATTCCTCTAACCACCTTTTGTATTTTTCATTTCCTTTTTGGTAGCTGCTAGAGAGGTAGAGAGGTGTATGTAACCATGTTAAACACTAATTTAATGTCAACAATAAAATACTGTATTTTAAGGCCAGCCTGGATATATAGTTAATACCCAAAGCCGCAAGGAACATTAGATGGCATGATTAATTGGTCAATCATGGTCATTAGTTATATATTTGGTGCAACAACAGCATCAAGGATTAACCAACTCAGCGTCAACTATAAATTAGACTAGGTAGTTTATGCTTGTTACAGACATTGTGAATCAACTTGTTTTGTTTCCTTTGTTCTCTTATGCTGTTGAATTTTTTTTATCATTGTCATCAAAATTTGAAGTCAAATAATAACAAGTAACTAATTGTTTTCAACGTTAAGTCGTTTGTACTATGACTATATTGGTAAATTGTTAAAGATACTCTTCTCGTCGCGAATTTGATCACATCGATAAAAACAAGTTTTCATTAAAATAAGAAAAACTATCTAAAATTATTTTAAATTTTATCCGTTTCTTTTTTTTTTTTTTTTTATTGGTCTCGCTATGTATGATTCATTGATAAATTGAGTTATTTTTCTAAATAACATTTCCTCTCCTTATTTTTAGGTTACAAAACTCTCTCTTTCACTTAATATAATTATGTAAATAAAACTTAAATTTTAAAAAAATATATGAAATGACTGAATATAATATGATTGACCAACTTAATTTTTACATGTTATTTGAAGTCGTAAAATTATTTAGTAGGCAGACACGAAAGTATGTTGTAAAGATATGATAAAAACAAAATATAAAATAAAATAACGATAATAATGACAATAATAATAAGATGATAATATAATGATGATAATAATAATAATTATAAAAAGAATGAATGATGATAGTAATAATTAATAATAATGGTAATAATTGATAATAATGATATTTATATTAATAATATTTATTACTATGGAGATATTATAAAGATACATGGTAATAGTAATTACTAAGTCATCATGTTAATATAATTGTGATATATATATATATATATATATATATATATATATAAATAATTTTATTAATATAATTTTAATTTTAAAATATATTTTACTTTACATTTTTTAAACGAAATTTTTAATACATTTGTTATTTTATTCACAAGTCATTTTAATTTATTTAAATTAAAGAATGATTATTTAAAGGGAATTTATTTATACATTCTTCACCCAGCTTGGGGAACTTTATTCCATGAGTCTTTATAATGTACTAATTAATTTATATCCTCTCATACTTTTACAATTAATATTGCATTAATAATTTTATATACTTCTTTATTACTATTACAATATACTTATTTGGTTAGTTTGTGTATACTTTGGGAGTTTTAATATTAATGGTTTAATATTGGTGTTTTATTTTTTATTATTATTAACATGCTTAAGTTATTAATGACATATAAGAACTATAAAGCTGGTTTGGTGATAATATTTAATGAGAATTAAAAGAAAGATAAACTAGAAAGTGAGTTTGAATCCTCTGATATCAACAATTATAGTTGTCTTTTTTTTAAAAAAAAAAGTACTTGTTTATGATTTTGAATAAAATTATATCATGTTAAACTTTAATACATGGATAACAATAGAATAAGATGATTATCCTATTATAGTAATCAAATATATCCTTAACATTTTAAATATATTATTTCCAATACACACACATTAATTTCAAACGTGTCACAGATTTTCTTAAAGCAATTGAAATGACACTATTTTGTTCATTTTTTTTTCAGATGATAAATTTCGACATGGATACATTTTTTAAACTATTTTTAACATGTTGACACACTGTTAGCATTTAATAAATTAGGAATATTACAATAAAATATATGAAAAACTTTAAATATTAAAATTATAGTAAAATATTTAACAAAAGTAAGATGAAGTAAAAGATAATTTTTGTCAAGGGTATTTTTGTTAAAGAATTATGCAAGAGTGGAGAGCGAAGATGGAAAAAAGGAGTGTATAAATCGCTACACCTCACTTTTTTAACACACTCCTTGTATTGACTAAAATTTACAAGAAAAATTCTAAAATCGTGTTGGTCTCATTTTTTCTTTTACTTTTTAATATATTTTAAATATAATTACAGAAGCATGTTGAAAAATGTATTGCTAAAAATACTTTTTTCAAACTTGGTGGGATGGAAGGTGTTGTCTTAAATCAGGACAAATTGTAGATTGTGTTTCTGGTTTTCGTTTTTTAATATAGTTATGTCAGTTTTTTAAAGAAAGCTGAAACCTCTAAAAAATCTAAAGTTATAAATTGTAACTTTGCAACATAGTGGAAAAATAGCATTTTATGACGAGTTTTTATCACGGTCGTTGTCCACCCGTCATAGTATGTAGCGCGGTGACAATTTTGTAATTAAATCATAAACTTTCTATGTCGGGTAAATTTTAACCGACATAGTAAGTGGAAAGTTCACTTTCTATGTCGGTTAATTTACCCGACATAGAAAGTGAACTTTCTATGTCGGTTATAATTTACCCATCGGTTAAGTTTTACCCGACATAGAAAGTGTATTTGATGACGGGTGTTAGGGAAACCGACATAATATCCTCTGTTTTACACCTCCCGCGACACTCCATTTCTCACTTCACCCATAGCAGAGCTCCCCGTTCTCTCTGTATCTTCTACGAACGTCTTCGCCTTTGTACGTTTCTCCCCACTCAGCTCTGCTCGTCACGCCACCTGCCAACTCTGTACGTCGTGCCGCCTGCTGCTACTGTCGTTGGTGCCCGTCGCCTGTGCACGTTTCTCCCCACCCAGCTCTGCACGTCACGCCAGCTGCCACCTCTGTAGGTCTTCAAGAGGTAAGTTTTCGTGCTTGCTTTAGCCATTGTAGGTTTACATTTTTGAATCTGGTATGTAATAATGCTGTCAAGAGATGGAAGTTCGCGGGTGCCTTTAGCTAAGTTAGAGACGTATTGTAAGTAGTTTAGTCATTTGAATGTGTTTCTGTAGGCATTTTTTCGTAATTTTGATTTTGAAAATTAGATTTGTATTATAATGTAGTTATTTTGAAAATTAGAAGGTAACAATGGATCGGAGTTGGATCAATTATAGACGAACAACAAATGAATATGAGAGTGGAGTAGAACAATTCCTTGAATTTGCTAAGATGAATGTTCCGGATAATGATGGAAGATTCTATTGCCCTTGTGTTAACTCGCTTGAATGAGCGAAGATTACCGATCGAAGTTATTCGGGAACATGTTCTTTGTGATGGTTTCCTAAAGAGTTACATAAAGTGGACATGGCATGGTGAATTATTAAACATGCCAAGTGTAGAAGACAAAGAAGAAGTTGATCTAGAGATGGATGATCAAGCTGGAGGAAATGATTCGTGAGCTTGGACAAGATGCCTTCCAACATACACATGTGTACGAGAAGTTGTCCAATGATGCAAAAAAGCCTTTGTATAAAAATTGTACTAAGTTCACACGATTGTCGGCGGTACTAAAATTGTTCAATGTGAAGGCAAAGAATGGGTGGACTGATAAAAGTTTCACGGAATTGCTTGAGTTGTTGAGTGACATGCTCCCTGAAGGTAACACATTGACAACCCGCAATTATGATGCTAAGAAGATATTGTGTCCAATGGGTATGGAGTACCAAAAAATTCATGCATGTCCGAATGATTGTGTGTTGTACAGGAAAGAATTTGAGAACTTTCACGAATGTCCACAATGCGGGGAATCACGATACAGGAAGAAGGATGGTGATTCGACAATGATGTAATGAAGGGTACCCCGGCAAAAGTGTTATGGTATCTTCCCATTGTTCCAAGGTTGAAACGATTATTCACTAATGGAAATGATGCAAAACTCACTAGATGGCATGCGAGATAGTCGTATTAAAGATGGTCAGTTGAGGCATCCGACAGATGGATTGCAATGGAAAAAATTGATTCCATCTTCCAGAATTTTGGTAATGATCCAAGAAACATTAGGTTTGGACTTGCTACGAGATGGAATGAATCCATATGGAAATTTAAGCAATAAACATAGTTCATGGCCTGTGGTGTTAGTTATTTACAACTTACCTCCGTGGTTGTGTATGAAACGTAAGTACTTGATGCTATCTTTGATGATCTCGGGTCCCAGACAACCTGGAAATGACATTGATGTTTTTTTAAGCCCATTGGTTGAAGAGTTGAAGATGTTGTGGGAGGAAGGTGTTGATGTGTTTGATGGGTACACAGGTGACTTATTCAAGTTGCGTGCAATGTTATTTTGTACAATTAATGACTTTCCAGCATATGGTAATTTGAGTGGCTACAGCACAAAGGGACATAAAGCTTGCCCGATATGTGAAGAAGACACATGTCACTATCAACTACAACATGGAAGGAAAACAATGTACCTTGGACACTGAAGATTTCTTCCTTCAAACCATTCATATCGTAAATTAAAAAAATCATTTAACAGGTGTCAAGAAAATGATGCAGCCCCAACACCTTTAAGTGGGGAAGAAGTATATCAACGAGCAAGTGTGATTTCGTGTGAGTTTGGAAAGACGCAAAAGAAAGCCACAGGTATATGGAAGAAAATGTCAATCCTTTTTGTTCTTCCATATTGGAGGGTTCTTGATGTGAGGCATTGTATAGATGTCATGCATGTAGAGAAAAATGTGTGTGATAGTATCATCGGAACGCTCCTAAACATTCAAGGAAAAACAAAAGATGGTGTCAATGCTCGTTTGGACATGGTTGAAATAGGTATAAGAGAACAATTAGCTCCTCAACCTCATGGTAACCGAACATACTTGCCTCCAGCATGTCACACACTGTCTAAAAAAGAGAAACACTAGTGCAAAAAAGGCTTTCTATGTCGGTTAAAATGGGTTTTCTACGTCGGTTAAAGAGACGACATAGATACAAGGGTCATAGAAAGTATGACTTTTTATGTCGGTTGTTATGAACCGAAATAGAA